AGAGAGAGAGAGAGAGAGAGAGAGAGAGAGAGAGAGAGAGAGAGAGAGAGAGAGAGAATGATAGAGAGAGAGATAGTACTGCGTGCCACCTGCGGCCTCAATGGTCTGTGTGTGATCACAATTGCCACGTACTAGTGAACCGAGTGACATATACTATTTTTTATACCATGAGAGCAATGGTCGTGTAGTCAAAGGCAACTTTTGACGCATGGTAGGGGAGATATGACGAAAAATTTAATCCACGACGTGTGTGTATGTGTTATGTTTTTTCCAACTGCACACGACAATGAATGCACCATTGCCCTCCCCACCCGGCCTCCGCATGTACTAGAAGAACATTTTACCAATGAATAAATTCGTATTCAAATGATAGAGAATGCAACAAAACATGACATAACATTTTTTAGGTGGTCGACACACACACATTGGTCATCATAAGGAGTGTGATTTATTATTATTTTTTTTAACAAATGCTCCAGTCTATTCGTGGGGAGCAACACGTGCTGGGAACCGGGTTCAGCGTCCCATATCGAATTGTACAGATCATTGAGAACATTTGAGAACATTGAGATCATTTGAGATACCGAGACCATTACCCGGCTTCGTCTTAGATCAGTCTGTGAATATCTAATGACCTAATAAGGAACTACACATGCAATAGGCTGCTACAGAGGTCCTATGAAAGCTCACAACCCTCAGGATCCTTAACCAACCCTTCTAAGACTTTCCAGCACAGTCTTACTCCCTGCTGAGCTCTTCCAGGCCTCATGCCCCCACCCTGCTGGGTTACAGGGCAACACAACTCGCCCCAACTCCGACCACCATCGCAACAAACCTTGGCTGTCCCTTGGGATGCCCCCCCAAAGCATCCCCAGATCTCTCTACCAGGCCTCACGCTCCTGCATTAGCAGGTTACAGGACATCACCCCTGCACTGGCCAAAGTCATTCTGGCATCTAACAACCACAGATCACTGAGTATAACCGCTTAAGAACCGCCTAGGATGGGTTGCTAAGATTCCCTAGAGTCCTAAGACATTCATAAGAACCACCGACAAAACAGATAGGTGAAACCTATTCAATCCACCTACGACCATTACCAGTATGACTGTTTTCAGCACAAACCGAAACTCTTTCAGGCCTCATGCTCCCATCAGGTTAGGTTACAGAGTTGCACCACCTTGCTCCAACACCGGCCAACATTGCTCCAGTTACAACCCCCGATGACCATTGAGACTGCCCCCGCACACAACCCCCTAGAGCTCTCTACCAGGCCTCACGCCCCCACTAAGCTAGGTCACAGAGTTGTGCCACCTGGCTCCGACTCCGGCCAGCGTTGCTCCAGCATCGGTCTTCGAGGGCCGCCGAATTGTCAACACCCTTCACAGGATCACAAAAGAATTGCCAGATAACACCTATTCCTACACCCTTCTCGAGCGGCAAACCAAATGAAAAGAAATAGTAAAAAGTCTCCCAACCACGAATCAGATAGGTGAAACCTATTCAACCCACCTGCGACCACCACCAGCATGGATGTTTTCAGTACGAACCGAAGCTCTTCCAGGCCTCATGCTCCCATCAGGTTAGTTTACGGAGTTGCACCACCTTGCTCCAGCACCGGGCAACATTGCTTCAGTTACGATCCTCGATGATCATTGGGACTGCCCCCGCTAACAGCCCCCCAGAGCTCTCTACCAGGCCTCACGCCCCAACTAAGCTGGGTCATAGAGTTGCACCACTTGGCTCCGGCTCCGGCCAGCGTTGCTCCAACATCGGTCTTCGAGGGCCACCGAATTTTCAACCACCCTACGCATGATCACAGATGACTTGCCAGATAGCACCTATTCCTGCCTCCTAAAGATGATGATGATGAAGATGATGGTGAAGACCAACTCACCTGCAGATGTGAACGACAAACAATGCCTTGAAGGGCAAACATCTAATGATGACAAACTGATGAAGGTGATGATGATGATGGTAGTGATGAGAATGAAGACAGGATGATGATGCTGATCATACTAAAGAGCAGCACCACCAGCCCCGCCCCTATGATTATAAACTGATGATGTTGATGATGATGATGATGATGTCGGTGATGATGATTATGATGATGATGATGATAATGATGATGATGATAATGATGATGATAATGATGATGATGGTGGTGATGATGATGATGATGATGATGATGATGATGATGACGCACAGTGCCCTGTGCTAACTCAAGATGATGATGATGCTGATGACCTGATGATGATGATAATGATAATGATGATAGGGACGAGCATTGCCCATGATGGTATTACAACGATGAGTGTCGCGCAACATCCCTGATCGTGGTGTTAAAGTTGAACCACGCCCTGATGATGATTATGATGATGATTATGATGATGATGATGATGATGATGATGAGCAACTCCCTGATGACAAGTGTGATATTTTTCATTTACTCTGAAAAACAATAAATTATGACATACATCATAAAAATCATCAAAAATTATTAAATCCACTCTGTCTGCTTTCTGTAAGTGTGTGTGTGTGTGTGTGTGTGTTTTTGTGTGTATGTGTGTGTGTGTGTATGTGTGTGTGTGTGTGTGTGTGTCAACCTTTATGTGTATTTGCCTGTGTCTGTGTGTATGAGGGGGTTCATCATGCATATGTGTGTGTGTGTGTGTGTGTGTGTGTGTGTGTGTG